ATGTTAGCATATACGGATCTGCCCCATCGGACAACCTGTATTTGATGGGATAAAAAATCAATAGAAATAAGTATTGCCGTGCACTGGTCTGAAAAATTTTAGAACTTCAATCACTGCAACTAGAAAAGATACTAATGGGTTTGCAAAATATATCAGGTAAAATAGATCGACTTCTGAACTGCTGAAGGCAATTTAAACGTGTACAGAAAACTTGTATTCTGAGATAGGAACTTGTTAGCAATAAAGAACTTTTCACAAAGAGCCTATCCCAAGTATTTCAGTCAATCCAGAAGATTCAAAATTCCCAGCAGGAAAGTTCATTCCCCACCATTAAAAAGTAATACTATGCACTTTCTTTTAGGTTCCAAAATATATAAACATGACTGTTGGAATATCTTCAAGGCAATAAAATTAGAAAAATATTGTTCATGTTCCTTAAGTCGAGCATGCAAGACAAGTTTGGCGTTACTAAGATAATAAGAGCCTGAGAACTTCCTGCTAAAGCTGCCAGCATGATAAACTGACCTTCACAACAGAAGCAAAATTGTCATCCAGGATGATGATATCTGAACTTTCTTTGGCAACTTCTGTTCCTTGAATGCCCATAGCAAGACCAATATCGGCCTACAAGGCAGCAGGAAAGCAAATTTTATTAGCAAAATATAGCGGTTCGTTGTGAAGGTAACACCTGCCACCCCATGAAAGAAAAACTGAGAATAAACAAGAAAGTTTAACCAGCAAATAAAAGAGTAGAACGCAAGAGAAAAGACTTCATTTCTCAATGGTTCAGCAAGTAACCATATAGCAACAGAACGAAAATCCTCAGGCAGAAGGGACAGTGAACAGGATAAAACAATTCAACAAGAGAATACATAGCTAACATGCACCTAGCCGACCTCATGCTTTCTATAATCATATCAGATAACTACATTCTTAACCAGCCAAGAAGAGCACCTCATGTAGTGCAGGAGCATCATTAGTGCCATCGCCAGTTACAGCTACAACATGGCCCTTACTCCTTAGTGCTTGAACAAGCAAGAGCTTATCATTAGGAGAAGATCTTCCCATAACCTGGACATGATGTGAATTTAAAAGTGAGGAAAAACCTTGTTGAACGACTAGGAATAGTCTAGTTTCATTCCATACCGATATTTTCTCTGCCACTTCCTTTCTATCTTCCTCCGATAAAGCTCTAAACCTCTTCCCTTCAATCAGGTTTGGTTCAGTTGCATCAGCATCAGACTTAAGAATCCCACATTCCAAAGCTATTGCTCTTGCTGTTTGTAAGTTGTCACCAGTGACCATTCTTACCTGTGAATTTGAGGGACAACAGATTTATGCTTTTACATATATTGAAAGGCAGCCGCGCAGCTAAAATATTTCAAAAAGGATTGGAAGCAACAACTTGTAGAACAGTATATCCTATAGTAGTGGACATCCTACAGTATGAGGGTATAACAAAGCTCCCCATGCTGGGACTTCCTAAGTTCAAATATGAAAGGTATAGGGTACAATATGAACAAAAGAAATCATATAATATTACAGCCTAATACAGTCATAACATGTATTGCACACTACAAAGTTTTTCAGAGATGTATCAACCATTTAAGACTTCACCAAGCACGCAAGAGGAACACAGCTTGTCAAAGAAAACATTCACTAGAACATTCACAGAACAGTCTAGCTGGTCACAAAAGTTGAGAACTTCCACAGATTAACAAGCAGCTGATCTGCCTAATCTGTTTGAGAGTTCCATGAATCTGAAACGATCTCTAAGAAAGTATACCAATTAAGCTCAATTCTTTATTGTTCAGGCATCGTACCGTTCATTCAAAACCACAATTACGATCAAACCAAAAAGAATATTGGTATATGCATTACAAAAGACGAGTATCGCAGACTTCCTACCAAGAACTGCCTATCATCCATGGAGTTTACAACTCTCCACATTGTTTCCTTATGACACCAGAAACCAAGTATTTATTATATTAAGGACACAAGTACCTTCAATTGGATAAACTGTATGAAAACTGACAATCTGACATGCTTGAGCAAAATGCCATCGACAAACACAAACAGGACAATTAATAGAAAATAAAATACAGATATATACAGAAGCAAAGATAGATACTTTATCTTAACTAAGAAATAGGCAAATAGGCTAATTACAATATATATATATATATATATAACTACCATACGAAACCAGAAAGGCAAAAGCACAAACACTGAAACATATGTGTTCATAACTAGAGAGTTAAAAAATCATTCTAGATAAAGTATGTAATCTGAGGTCCAGTAAGCAAAGGCTTTTTCCTTCAAATTTATGGTAACACAGAGATGCGACCATCATTGAGCTAATAACACATGAAAAAACAAATAATAAGAATTAAGGCAGGATTACACTCAATACAACGTTGTGTTTCAAAGAACCAAATGCAAATGCATTGTTCCAAATTACCTTCACTCCAGCATCACTACATAATTGAACTGCATCTCTTACACCTGGGCGGCATGGATCCTATAAGATACATGTGAAGAATTAATTACATGTGATAAGAGCAAATTATACGATACTTATGCATTATATATGCTTAAAATGGAAAGGTATGTAGAGAAAAGAGAAAGTGAAATGAATTGTAACTGCAGAACAGGCTATGAGAGTGCACAGTAAGTTTAAAACTTAGCACCCAGTTCCTTAAGTTATCCAGGGTTAAAGATAGAGTTGAAGCCGGAGTCGACTTATACTTTTTTCAAGGTTGAGCTCAGTCAAAGACTCATTCAAAATTCAAACGGCGAGCTAGCTTTTCTTCCTATTTCTCGTATAATTATACCCCGACCCCACATGTGGGATTACACTGGGTTTGTTGTTGTTTGTTGTTCTTGTTGTTGTTTTTATTGAGAAAGACGTAAGTCATCATTTCTGCAATTAAAAATATTTGAGGAGGAAAGCCTAGTCCTTGGCCAGTGGCCCTAACCATCACTCTTATCTCTCCATCCATTCCAACTTCCTAGCCACCATTGCTACTTCTTCTCCAAGTCGTAGCAACATGTTCACCATTCAACCTCCCCATGGTTTTGGTTCCCCACCAGACTGATTTTGCTTCGCTGCTTAAATCTTTTTCACCCTGTTCTTCACCACTGTTGCTCCATAGCATCTCCGCTATAAGTTTCAGTGCCCGAAGACTGACTACCTTCCACTCTCTTACTGCTGCTTTCCAGCTGGAAAACCTAACTTTATTTTGAAGATCTCATGGAATTAATGTCAACAAGGCGATATATCATCTCCAACCTCAAGCTTGGGGATTTGCCTTCATAGACGTACTATTTATGGGTTTCAATTAAGAAGCGTTATCAGGTTAAATAAAGCAAACTTGAAAATTATCTTGGTTGTCAGCTTCCAAAGTCGCTTTATCTGTTTGCCTGCCCTAGGTAAGCCTACGGGGCACACAATCTCAAGTTGCTGAATCATCTCCTTTGTGTGAGCACGAGCCGCAACTTTCAGTCAGCCAAGCCCAAAAACAGTACAGAAAAGGATCAATTCAAGATTACCCCATAAAGATCTCAGCTTAGTTTTGATTTGACATGCAAATTTACACCCTTTAAACAGACTAGCAGAATAATTGAATAACTTGGAGTTCTTTAACATTTTCTTCAGTCTGCTGCAGAAAAGTTACCCTTGGCGCGTAGAAGAGAGAAATGTCCTATAAAAACAAAAACAAAAAAAAAAAAAAAAGGTTTAAAGGTTTTGCAAAGTACCTTAATGCCAACAATGGCAAGTAATACCAGATCACCCTCAGGTATTTGCCATTGCTCTACTTCTTCTTCGTTGGGAACTTTCTCAACGTCAAATTGTCTGTAGGCAATAGCAACGCATCGCAAACTTGATGCTGCCATGTCATTGATGGATTGCTTGAAATGTGACACCTGTGGACCACAAATACTCAGAACTAAAGCTGAAAATTTATAGAATAATGCTAAATCATTTTCGGGTCAGTAGAATTATGCTATATCTTATGCAGCAGCGCATAGAATTGATAACTGAAAATTCATAGAATAATGATAAATCTTTTCTGGGTCAATTGTAAATTTTCAAGGAACACACCATTCAACCTCGCATTGTTCTTATCTTTTGAATTGCCCAATTCAAATTCAATGGTTCACAGTACAAATACTCGGAGTGATAACTGACCGATATTCCTCAAAATGAAGAAAAAATAGTGCACTTTTTAAATCAGGTTAAAATTGCTAGTGAATAAATAATTTTTAGTTTCTTCAACGGATCAACTGCTTGATAAGACCAACATTTACACAAACCTTATCATCACCCAGAGGAACCACCGACCCATTCTCATCAATGAAACTTGTACAACAAGAGAGAACAATCTCAGCCGCCCCTTTCCAGTGCAAGTGAACCTCAGAATCATGCTGCAAAACACCAAACCACACATGCAGCATCAATACTTCTCTAATCAAGAAACACGGTATTGGTAACGCCTAAGGCATTGTTTGGATATAAGACCAATTTAATAAGGTGGTTTCTCAACGATCATAAAGCTGTAAGAACTAAATTACGACTTCCAACCTTCCAGATAGCTTTAAGACTTTTTCCCTATCACAAGGAAAACTTATGGCACCTAAAGAAGAGATGGACATGTTCTTTTGACAAGTAAGAAGAGATGGACATGTTCTTTTGACAAGTAAGAAGAGATGGACACAGAAGCAATTTTCTGTGAATCATCTGGATACCAAATAAAAGAACCAGATTTTCTGAACATCAACTAAGCATCTTTTGGTCTTTGTGCTAATCAACTAGAAAAAAAAATCCTGTGGAAGTGCCAGAATGATAAAAGCAACATGAATAAACAACCTTTACACTATATGGCTACTATTCTTAACAATGATGATATGGGAATCATATGTCGGTTTTTATATTAGTTTGATTTTCCTGTAAAGTCCTCAAGTAGAGTATCAAAGGTTTAACACTAAAACCAGTCATATTATATGCTAAGAAAAGAAGTTTCAGAATTGAGCATTGCATTACCAGCTTCACAGCAACGCCACCTCTTTTTTTCTCTGAGTTGAATGGGAAAGCATGAATAATGGATGCTTCTGATTGTACTGCATCAAAATTCATCCCTAGCTGTAGAAGCAAGAAACAGTTTACTAAAGAGAATTTTGACATCAATTACTATAAGCATAAAGCAAGCATAATTACATTGACAGCCCATTGGAGAATAGCTTTCTCTGTCGGCGATCCAGAAATCTCAGCAGCACCACCACCCTATCAGAAAATGAGCAAGCACGTGATCTTCAATTGCAGTATCTTCTCTATCTAGATGCATAAAGGTAATCCCCACAAAATGATAAAGCAAAAGCGGTAAGACCACTCATAACTGATAAGTGATAACACGAAGTCACACCATAAAGAGTCAAAGGACTCCACAGTGGCAGAGAAGGTGCTTCAGCAATTGTTTAGTTAGAGAGTATTCTCAAAACAATATTTGTTGTTTTCTTTGATAAGCAGAAAATTTGTACACATAAATCATTAGCATGGACCCTAGGGCCCATGTTGCTGGACATATCAAGCAGTATCTAACCACCCAGAGGATTTTTTGCTGACAAATCCACCACTTTATACAACCATTTTATAATTGCTATTCATCCTGCAGTTCATTCTCCTCTTAATATTCAAAAAGCCTAGAGTGCACCAGCACTGTAAATCCCTGTCAACTTAGCAAGTAAGCTTTCATTAATTGAAACACTATATTTCAAGGCTACTCGTTCATGTCAAAACTCGCCATCACTTCTAGCAGACGACAAGGGCAACATACAGCTCAAAAATTTCAACTACTATATTAAAACGTAGAAAATTATAAATATAAGCGAGGAATACAGTTTCTAAACTAGTATATATGGAACAGCAGATTCACACCATTCAGAGTTATTAGAATACTCAACATCAAAAGTTCCTCAAACTTCTATAGTATATATCCGCAGCATATTGTTAAGCATAAGTGCAATCAAGAACTCCTCTCTATTCATAATAGACCCACAAGTCAGGTGTTAGTGTAACTTGATTTTACTTTACCAAAAGTGTTTCATTTATTCAAAGGACAAAAAAATAAACACCCATTTGGAAACAATACAAACACTGATTGAGACTATCAGCTGGGAGCAGCTAATGATACGCCACAACCTAAGAAATAAAAGCACAGTCCATTCTCTCTCATTTTAGTAGATTCAGCCTCAGATCATTAACTTAAGACCCACTTGTTTACACCATAACCGAGGAAATGATTCCCCGGTCATCCATTTGACATGATCTGTAGCCCAACATATATAGCCCGACTCGTGCATGTATCAATTAGTAGTGAAAGAGAATACTTTGTAACAGTTGAAAAGTTAATATGATGGAAAAGGCAAAAAAACCTACACCTCAGTCCCAAACAAGTTGGGGTTGGCTCATATGATGGAAAAAGCATTACATCAAAATCTAAATCAATATATTAAATGCCTTTGACACTTGAAACATGTGAAAATCGTACGAAATAATATTATGAATACTATAGCATTAAGCATTCTGAAAAATCCAAAGACAATGCAATATAAATTGGAGTACGGACACTTAACATTTTGTGACCCGAATTAAATTAAAATCTGAAGGCAAAGGAGAGAAATCACGTCTAGGCTCTCAACAGAGCTGACAATTCTTTATTAACTTACCTGTGGCACAAAAATGCTTCCAGTGGTATTCAGTCCTACTCCTTCATGGAGTAGAGACAACACAGTTGGAGGCACTGCAGATCTATCATCAGGTGGATCAATCTTTTTACCGCAGACATATGCCTCAACCACAGTCATCTACAAAGGAAAAATTAAAATAGAATTGAAGCTCGGCAGATTGTAAAGCAAAGCTGTATACAGTATAAATTGGCTCTTCACACAACATCAGCGCTAAACACAGTCACAACCAAGAAGGGGAAAGTGGAACAAAAAAAGAAAGGAAGAGAAAGTGGGGAAAAGTACAAGAGGTTTTTAAAAAAATATCCACCTGATTCAAAGTCAAGGTTCCAGTTTTATCACTGCAAATTGTAGTTGCAGAGCCCATAGTTTCACAAGCAGAAAGCCTTCTCACCTGCAGTTAAATGTTGTTTAGAACACAGAGAATATCTTAAGAAAAGAATTCAGAGAATGATTACTGCTCCTACCAAAGCCTTATCTGCCATCATTTTCCTCATTGAATAGGCAAGCCTGCAAGATTACAGTTGACCACAAGTCAGACTACTTCAAACCAGTTGTGGAAACAGAGGAATATATTATTGCAAAGACAAATAGTAAATACTCCAAAGTTGATGAAGAACACAAGGTCCAAAATAATTAATCACTTGGAGATCTACCTTCACAACCACACTCAGATTTGAGCTTAACAACCAAGGCATCTAAAAGAGAAGCAAGAACTGAAGGACCATACTTACGTTAGGGTAACTGCCAAAGGAAGTCCTTCTGGCACTGCCACAACCACAATAGTAACCTACATTTTCCACAGGTTCGCTGATTTCAGATGACAAACAATTAAAGAACATAAGGTCATTAAAAAGAGCACATACAGCAACAGTGAAGATCTTTATAGCTCCATCTACAGCCTTGCCAACCCTTGTTTTCCCAGCTTTGAATTGAACAGTGCCGTCTGGGTTATAAGTATGCCCAGTAAAGAATCTGTTCATAAAATCTCAAACTTAAGACTCTCGGAACAGTAGAGGCAAGCGATAAGAGCGTCAATTGAATTCCAGCACTACCTGATCATAAGGACAATCAGAACAGCTAAAGCTACAGTGAGACCAACTATACCAATGAAGGTTGCCACCCCATTCAGACGGACCTAAAATGAATTAATCAAAACAATTTAAGCAGTGAATGTTGATCCTTCAACGCAGTCATAACATTTTACACTCAAATAACCTGCAATGGTGTTTCCTCTCCATTATCCTCTGTAATGCTTGCCATCAACAATCCCCATTCTGTGTTTATTCCAACGCCTATCACCTGAAAATGAACACTGATGTGTTTAAAATCTTTCGATCGATCAATCGAGCATGCCTCAATCTCAAACAAAGTTGGAGTTGATCATATGAATTCCGTGTAAGCATTCCGCTCTATCCAGGCCCAAATCATTCCAATGCTTTAATAATGTCTTTGCAACAAATTAGGGATCTCTAAAGCCATTTGAATATTAGAAATTAAAGTTTAACAGGAAATGACCAAAGTAGTCCCTTCAACACACTGACGTCATACAGAAAAAGAGCCTACCAGCATCGTTCCATAGCCATCGGCTACTTTGCATCCAGACATAAGGAAAGGTGATTTTAAATCCTTGTGAACCTGGGTAACAAATTAATACCAGTTAAAAAGGAAACAGCAGTGTAACCTAAGAGATTACTAGAAACACTCACAATCTTGCTCTCTCCTGTCATGCTTGATTCATCAATTGCAAGAGAGTGACCCGAGATTAATATTCCATCAGCAGGTACCTGCAATCAATGTAGAAAAATAAATTCATAGAAAGATTATATCATAGTTACAACATCAAAAAGGGAAGAAAAAGAAACTGACCTGGTCACCAATTTTCAGAGGCACAACATCACCAACAACTACATCAAATATTGAAACGGGAATTCTCCGCCCACCTCTAACAACCTGTACAAAGTACCCTAAGAATATTTGAAGAAAACAAAAAGGAAGGACAGAAAACAGGAGACTGTCACAAGCAATACACCAGGAAAGAGTAGAGGACAAACCTCAATTTGTATGTTCTGCTTCTCTTCATTAAGATTTTGAAACTGAAGTGATTGCTTATAGTCACTAACAGCTGCAAATACATACAGTAGAAATGTCCAGTTACAAACAGGAGAGCAAGAAAATGAACTTTTAAACTAAGGCTTTATTCATTAGTCAGATATAATCCAGAGGCTAAAAAGTTTCTATGCAATGGCTTACATCAACAACTTTAAATTTGGGAAAACAAATAAAGACAAGTAAAGGCATGTTAGACTTTAGATGCCTTTTTAGTCAGCTGTTTATGCTATTGTTGTAATTGAAACTACTAATCAAGAGCACAGAAGATTTTCTGCTCTGAACTCGTTTTCCTTTCACAATTTCTTTTCCAACTCATATGCTGTGTTTACTCGTCTAACTAGACGAAGAATCACAGACTTGACAACATCTGCATCCTTACAACAAAATTATGTGATAATGCTTTTGGTATTTCGGTATTGGCACTGAACATGGAGTTGTTTTTTTATCCTACAAGTTGCTTGCAAAAATGGGCAGTTTACCTCAAGAAAAAAACCTAAATAAGAAGTGATACTGGAAATGTTAAGTTGTAGAAGCATTGGTTGCTAATAAAAATCAATTTGCCGATGAGGAACTTGGAGGGAGATATTGAATTATTCATGAAATGTTTACCCCAGTGCAGGATATGTTCATCCAGAGCTTGAGTCTTAAGTCTGTTATACATTATCACTAGTATAATGCACAAAATAATGATCTCGCCTTATCCCATCGGGCATAGCAAATGACTCCAAATTGGACTACTACTATGTAAAAACCCTCCAAGTATGATTGGCATATATATCAAACTACGATTATCAGTATGGTCATCAATCAGCCTCTCAGTCTATACCATCCTGAATTAAATATCAACTAACCTAATCAGTCTCTCAGTCTTTCCCTTTCTAAATCAATCAACTTAAGCAATCTAAAGACCGAATCCGACCATGTTATTGATAAATTATCCAGTGTTAAGAGTTGATTTGACATTGCACATTTTTATCAGCCAAATTAAACACAAGTTTAACATCAAGACCTCTACTGAAATAAAATCTCTATGTAAATCCTTGTACCTGTCACAACTATGACAATAATCACTGCCAAAGCAATGCTTCCCCCATCGTACCATCCTTCTTTTATACCCTAACAGAGCAAGCTTAATTAGAGCAGAGAAGAAACTCACAAGACAGATATTAAATTACTTGTTTGAAGACAAAACATAGTGGAAAAGTTAGACATAACATGCCAAATAATTGATGAGAAAAAGGAAAAGAATAAAGATGTTCATGGACACAAATTGATGGATATTGGTGCATTGTTCTCTATATCATATGTGCATTTCCCATAAAAGAAAAGGAACATAAGAGCTTTTTTTATAGTTAAGAACGCAAAAGATTTTACTAACACAAATGTGTTTTTCAAGATCTACAAAGCTATAACCACTCACCCCGGCCGCAGTTGTGTAAATCTTCAAATTATATCTCCACTCAATATCAATAAAGGAAAACAAAGATTCTTTCTACTGAAATTTCAATAAATAGTTTCCCAGTGCAGGATTTATATCTTAAAATCAGGAACAGAAATTATTATGTGTTTCGACCCACCTCAGTCTTTATGCCCAGCGCCAATGATGCAGCTGCGGCTACCATCAAAATAATCAGGGTTGTATCACAGCAAGCTTCCCAGACAAACCTCTACAGTGGAGAACACAAGAAAAGGGTAACTATGTTTGATGATAAATAATGTGATAATGATTCTCAACAACAAATCACGGCATTAAATGATGCAATAACTGTAACACATACCCAGAAACTCCTCCCTTTCTTCCGAGGATATGTGTTGGATCCATATGCATTCTTCCGTTTCAGCAGATCTACTTCATCTCCATCAATTCCTTTATCTAAACTTGTTTTCAACTTCTCTGACACCCCTTTAACCTGATGTTACAACATTTCATAACAGAAATAGAGAAGACTATTACTTCATCCAGCACTCGTATGACTCAAAGAAAAAAACTAAAGTTTTGAAGGTGAACTTGCCCCTCCACATCGCTGCAAAGCAGGGACGTCGTGCTCTCTAGACATATATGCCAGCTCCTCTAGGCTGATATCAAACTCGCCAAGGGAGGTAGTAGTTGGAGGCAACGTCTTAAGAGCCCCATCCCCTAAAATAAGAAACATGTAAGACAAATTAGTATTCTGCCAAAACATGTGACAAACAGAAAAATCTACTATTTGAAAACACGACTAAAAGATGCTTCCTCAAAGGTGCACCTATAGCAAATTTTTCAAAACTATAGCGAAACAGCCCAATGGTATTACTCACCTTCAACTACAAAACAAAGTCACTGATTCTTTTGGCATAAAATATCAGCAAAGATGTAGCAATTGCAGTAAGAGAGTAACTATGGAAGAAAGTCCTACGTAATTTGATTACCAAGTTTTCCTTTCTGTCATAAATTCTTTGCGGCAACTATTATCTATCAGCAATTAACTCTGCTTCTGTATTCTTGGTTTGCGCCAACAAGCATATTTTAACCTATTTTTTAATTTTAGTATAACAACCATGAGACATATTTTTTTACTACCCACTTTTCCCCACTTACATCAGCATTCCGGTAATTAGATACGGACAAATTTAGTTGAAGCTAAACAGTCAGAGCTGTCACAACATAGATTTCACTCTATGACTTAAAGTAAGCATCAGGAAGTGTTTACCATTGACTGTTCGCCCCGCTTCTTGAAAAAGAACAGCTGCCTGATTCATTGCAAAGAAAAAAGGAACAAACAATATTTACTTCCATTTAAAGCACTGAAGGGTAACATGAAGATTGGAGAGTAATATTTACCCGAATAACTTGGGCATGGGTTCTAATTTTAGCAATCAATTGCTTTCTTTCTTCTTCCTTTTTTAAGTCCAAGGTATATCGAAATCGACGAGAAGCATTAAGGACAAGCGCAGCTTGCTGAAAGATTAGTCAGATCAGCAAAAGTTTATACCGATCATAAATAAATGGAAGAAAAGCAGTTCCCAAGAATTTTGAATAACAAATTAAATTCATAAAGGGAAAAGGCAAACATGCAGCAGTTGTCTAACCGGCAAAGAAACAAAGAAATCTAAAGCACCAGCTTCTCCAACACATCGACAAAACAAGATATAAGAAAAGACAATTCACATAACCAGCAAACGAAGTGCCCTCTCCCATTTTGGAAAATAAGATTTATTGTCTTCTTGATCCTGGGATTGGCTTCAATTACAGTCTCACCACTGTAGTAGTGTCCATACATTCCACAATTTAAAAAAAAAATCACCCTTAAAGTAATGTTAAAAAACATAATGCTATAGTAAAGGAACGTGGACGTTGATAGCCACATTGCATTGGGTAAGAGAAAATCTTTGAGACACCACATATATCCCTCAACTGCTCAACCCATAGAAGACCAATACGCAATTCTCATAATAAAATAAACACTACCACCAAAAAAATGATAGGTGAAACACTAAACAAAAACTAATAATCAAAACCCACAAAAATTGGATGTTTTGACTTACCAGAAAAACACTGAAGACTGTTACCACATTATTTAGCACTCTCAATATGTAAAATCAAAATTGACCAAGTTGAAACCAAAAAAAAAAAAGATAAAATAACCAAATAGGCAAATGGTCTTACAAACACAGTAAACAAAGAATAAGCCAAAACCATGGATCCTTGAACCCATCACCCTAGCCACCTACCTAGCACACACACATCACAAGCACAAAACTGAAAGAAGAAAACAAATTGAAAAACACCCAGTTGAATTTTCACCCTACACATGACAAGACATAACACCAACAAAAGTAAAAAATACCCCAACATAATGCACCCCAAAAAAATCCCACTGTATGCCCTGACATGTAAAAAAGATTTAGATCACCAGGTGATCTAAAAACGCAATTGCAGGTTCTCTATACAAACATTAATTTGTAACCTTTAAAAATGGAAAGCAATCTTCTAAAATATGTCAAAATACACAGAAAATTTTTACATTGACAGTGCATATAACTTAAACTCAAGAAAAGCAAAGAAGAAACACCTAAATAAGACTTCACCCCAAAAAAAATCACATAAAACAAACAAAAAACTACTACTCTTCGGTCCCAAACAAGTTGGACTCAGCTATACTTAAACTCATCTCATGCCAACAATTATGCAAATACAATAAAAAGTGTTCAAAGTTATGTAATTTTTCTCAATGCGTAAATCTCAAAAAGGCTAAATCACTCCAATAAAGCATAGACCTACCGTAAAAAGTATTAATGTCTAAAACATATTCTCAACTAATATGTCATCTTCTCCTTCTTCCAAGTCCGGTGCACTAAACTACCACTATGTGCGGGGTCCGAGGAAGCGGTGGACCACAAGAGTCTATTGTATGCAATGTTACCCTGCATTTCTGTAAGAGACTGTTTCCGCAACTCGAAACTGTTTCCACAAGGGTCTTAACTAATATGTATCGCCTATAAATACACCCTAACAAAATGCACCCAAAAAACCCATAAAACAAAATTAACAAACAATGAAGAAATGTCCGAATAAGATTTCACCCCAAAAATCGCAATAGAAAAATATGTAGGAGGTTACTCCATTTAAACTCGTATCATGTCAATATTATGCAAGTACAAATCGAAAAATTGAAAAATATTAGAATAAAAATCCATTCAAAAAGGAAGTACTAACCCTCCAGCGTTTCAAGCGGTCAATAGGAGCACTCTTAGTCCTTGGAATATCAAAAGGACTTCCACCACAATCCATAGACCTGCTACTGCTGCCATTAATCCCAGCTTCCAAATCCTCATTACTATTCTGATGCCGCCTATACGGCGACGTTTTCACATTTTCTTCACCACTCATCTTCTGTGACTGTCGCAGGAGAGATGACACCAGATTTGACACAACAATTTTTTTTTTCTCACTGTATATTTTCAAATCTCATATAAATAAACACACAAAAAAAATCATATAATTTTACTAGGGTTTATCGCCTAACACCGACCAAACCACATTAATATTTAAAATACCAAGAAAAACATAAATATATAAGTGAATAAATTCTTTAACAAAGCAGATCAACTACTTAAAACATATATTTAACCAAAATCAGTATTTTCATCTCGAACTATGTGCCATTAACCATAAAAAAATCTAAAAAAAAACATACATACTGTCTTCAATTTTACTGTCGCTAAATTATATATTCGTGAATTATTTTACTGTATTTTGAATTTCATAGAAGAGAATGTAGTGAGAGAGAATTACCGATTGTTGGAGTAACCGACGCAATGTGACAACTGAAGTGCAGAGAGAGCAATGTAAAGTAAATTGCTTTTGTGTTTTCGTAGAAAGTGTTAGGAAGCTTCGTTCCCTTTTTAGGAGTGTTTTTCAAAGAAAAAGAAGATTTTTAAACTTCCCTTTCATAAAAATGAAACTTAGTTTGTACAAGCGGTTCTGCACATGGTACAACGTCTAAAAAAAAAAAAAAAAAAATCCCTTTTCGGATATTTTTAAGTGTAATACGAACGTAATTTACTGATTATAAACAATGATATTTTTACGTAGTGTAGGGTGATATTCTTTCCTGGGTCATCAAAATTTGTGATTTAAACCATACTATTACTTCATTTTTAATCAAAAGTTCCGGGTCCAATACTAAACATACGCTAAAAATAGGACTTCAAGCTAATTTGAATTAATCGGTGGGGTACGAAATATACACCAAGGAATCAAAAAAGTAGATATTACTTCATCAAATAGGGTTATTAATTGCACTAATGTCCCAATTAAAAAACACTCCCTCCATTCCTATTTATATATCTTAGTTTGACTGGACATAAAATTTTAAAAAATAAAAAAGACGCTTAAATCTTGTTGTCTTAAACTAAAAATGTGTGCATTATACGAAAATATTCTTGAATCTTGTATCTTAAATATGTTATGTAAAAAGTTGGAGTTATAAAAAGAAATATTTTTTTTAACAGAATAAATTAAAAAAGAAAGTAAGACACATAAATTAAAACTGATTGAGCATGATATAACGGAATTTACCTAATGTACAAGTTAAACTTATTATAAACTATAAGTGATGGTGCCAAATTAATTTTTTTTATATGTTGTATAATAAGTGAAGCATGTATTACCCAACAATTAATTTTATTTCATCTCATGTACCCCAATATTGGCACTGCTATTTTTCTTTTGATTTTGACAGTGGTTGTTACAGGTACTATGATTTTATTTGCTACCCAACCTTAGTACTAGGCAAGTAAGTAATTCTATTCGTAGATAGTAAGTCTGTTGCGTGTGGAATAAGTAAAAGTACTGTAATGTTTACATGAAGTAGGAAATTAATTTACTTATAGGAAATTAAAGTTAAAAATTGTAAACGTATTTATTGATCCTTTCTCATGAAGCAGGCCAATCTGGCTGGACCACGCTAGTCTTTAGCTTTTTCATTTTCTCAGAAACGCGTTTTTTTTAATTATTTAATCTTACTTTTTTGTTTATTGAATATGGTATTTGGAGTAAAATATTTATTTCATTTTTTGCAAAAAAACAACGCGGTTTTTACTTTTGTTGTATCTTGAGGAAGCTCTAAAAGGGAGGCACGTTGGAGGATACGTGGGATTTGGTGGAACCTACTAATAATGACTATAGTATATAATAAAACTACGACATGTTTTTAAGGATTGTTTGTCTCGCTTACTAATTATGTTGAGATTATAGTATGGAATAATTAATTGATTGATTAACAAAAAAAAAAGGCAGCCTAATACATACGAGACATCCTGCTTTTACACGAAGTTCGGAAAAAGATCGCACCCTAAGAGGTAGGGTATAGATAGCTTAATTGAGTAATTAAATGTAAAGGATTTTTATACATGAATTATTTACTATAAAAAAGTTTATCTTTATCTGAATTATTACTAATACATGTATTTTTATTATTCTCACATAACTTATGATATTAATAGAAATCAGAGGCGGATTTATAGGGCAGGACACTGAACCCATAATCTTTCCACCAAATTAGGTATTTTATGTATATATTTTTTATAATTGGTCTAATGTTGTTTGTTGACACTCATGCTCTAAAAATATTAAATGGTCTACTTTATTGAAAAATGAGTTATTTACCCAAAAAAACAAGGATCGATTCTCACATAGTATTTTTTTTTCTCATTTCTTTAATAGTGTGCCCATGTTCTAAAAATTGTAGATCCGCCTCTTATCAAAAATTTTCACAAAATTTTATACTAGATTAATTGTTCTAATGATACAGCCAAACGACCCTTACATTAAATCTTAAAATATAAATATTGTGAATATATGACATTATTTACAAGGACAGATGGGTTACATGCACCATACCAGATATAAAGGACATTGCTGTGTCTCCCAACAAATGCCCCCACATGACTATGACTTTATATGAGTCATTAAATATTAATTTCTTCTTCTGGGGGTTAACTACGTGTTTAGGAGAAGTATATCTTTATATTTTGGTATTGTCTGATATAACTGAAAATGACAACTTAAAAAGGGCGTATCTAATTGTTTTGTTTCTTTAAAAGTATGTATTGTTTATTTAGTGTCACAATTAGGTGGCTTTTGTCTGAGTTTTTGCAGAAACTCCTTTTGCTAACTCTGTTTAGTGGAAAGTGTTGGTTTGACATGTTTATGCAAGAAACATAATGTCTTTTACAAAAAAAAATTAAGTTCAGTTTTTAAATCTTCCAAAAAAATATGCACGTCCTTTTTTGATTGGAAAAACTTTTCAAATGAGCACCTTTTTTAAAAAAAAAAATTCAAAAACTGAATCCGAAAAATTTGCTTTTCCTTTTTTTTTTACAAAAAACAAACCCGGATATGTTATTGATTATTCTAAGACCTTTTATTTTATGATATTAAAACTAGTCCCAAGATATGCACATTGTACGTGTATCCTGTTTCAACGAGTAATTTTTTTTAAATCACATAAATATTATATTAAAAATAAATTTAAGTTATAAAATAAAAGTATTAATCATAAAATTGAACCATGTACCATAATGGTTCATTTTTGGTCTCTTTCATTATTATGGGTTCTCTTCTCTGTTGCATGTGATTACACTAATTAAGATGAATTATTGTAGAATAAAGTTTTATTTTGGGAACATGATCTTGCCACTAGAAGTGTATCTATCAAGTATCTCACTTCAGAATACAACAGAAAAAAAAAAACTTGAATTTAATAGAAAAATACATTTGAAAAAGGGAATCATGAAACCTATATGAAGTTTCAAATAATATGGTGATTGTATATATAATTATTCAAACTAACGTGTGCAGGAGTGGAGCTAGAAGTACGGATACGGGTTCGACTGAACAGTATATTTCTGTTGAAAAATTTATTAAATATATATAAATATTAAATTTAATTAGAACTCAGTTTCAAAAACTGACATTAAAATTCAGAACTTATAAAGTTAAAACTTGGCTTCGTCTCTGATTGTGTGAGGCTATAATTTACCGACAACAATTTTTCTTCCAACAATTTCCTAGTATATTCCTCTAGTAAATGGAAAAAATACTAATTGCATTGTGTGGAATAAAACTAAATATAAACATATAATATCGTGATTATGAAAACTCCTTAAATCTAGGTTTCATTTTTTTCCTATTTTATTATTTAGATAATTAGCCAGGCAAATAACCCAAGAAAAAAAAAATGAAAGCAATATCAGATAATGGAAAGTACCACAAAAAACGAAAGGCTCCTCGTCTCCCTTAGCTTGTTTCTTCTTCTTTTAACTTTCAGAATCAGCTAAAAATAAAGCTGAAAATTATAGATGGAAACTAAGATAAGAACTCCTCTTAAATAAATAAATAAATAAATAATGCAAGAGAGAGAGGAAGAATAAAAAAGAAATACTTCAATTCTTTGGCTATAAAAAGGAAATGATGATGAAACATTTGGCTCCCATTACAAAGACATTCACATCTATCTGCACTGAATTGATGGGTCACTGTCCATAAATATCGTCGACTGCCCTTTTATATCATTCCTTACATAAAATAAATAAATAAATAATTATATTCTCTTACTACTTTTTTTAAATATATTTTTCCTCTCTAGTTATGCTTCATTTGAAAGAAAAGAATTTAAAGAATGCCAAATGTTCCCATTCAGTAATCGCTGGATGCAGGCCCTTTATGATTATGAGATTCTTCACTTTCCTTTTTCTTTTTTATATTACTCCATTAAAAAACAACTGCTGAGTAAATTGCATTTTTGAGGACGTATTTGTTCCAGCTATTAAACAACTTATAATATATTCCAAAGCAAGACAATCCAACCAAGAAATATTAAATTGTGCGATATCTTATCTTATAAAAGATTAAATTGTTAGACAATGTGCATTTTACTATATTTAGTTATGTTTTCAATTCGCATCTCTTAACGTGCATGTCAAATTCCTTTTATATATTAACCATGTGAATTTATCTTCGATAATAGGTGATAGTAAAATTTAAGCGTAAGACTTTCGATTTTGCTCAGTTGAGGAATATAATGGAGGTATACCCAGTGGCGAAGCCACATGGTCATAAGGGTGGTCAGTTGTCGAAAATTATACTATATACATAGGGAAGAAGTATATAACACATATTGAACACCATTTATCGGGAGAAAATTCACTGCTTTTAAATTTGAACACCCTTGATCGTCACTAGGTATACCCTCGACCAATGTATCAGCTAGGATATTTGTGGTAGGGGGATAGAACTCGAAAGCGTGGCCAAGGTTTGTGTCCTTCCAAATGGTTGAGGTCGACTCGGTGATCAGAGGCTTGTGTGGAGGACACATTGCAATTATGGGCTTATACACTGATATTTTTCAATTATTTTAGGCTCAAGCAGAATATCTGAAAATACCTCTAAACTTGGTTCAGAGTATTAGTTCCCTCCTCAAACTACATCTAATCTTAATCATCCTAAACTTGGGTGTCCGAGCTAAGTTTAGGGAGGCTTTTAAGTAATATAGAATCGTATGATCGTCTCAAATTAAAAGTAAATATGAGAGGATATCCTTGTTTATTTTTCCTAATTTTCCTTTGTGTGTAAATTGCTAGGAAAAGACTGTAAAAAAACAAACAAGCTGTGATTGATGAGTTGATGAGTCATGAGCAGCTGATTTCACGTTAAGGGTCTGTCAAGGGGATATAAAAGCCAGCAAAGCAAATTTTTGAGTTGCCGACTAACAACTCCCTATCTCTTGATTCTCTTTACCACCCAATACAAGTAAAGAAGTAAAGAAGTAAAGAAGAAAGCGACTCCTTATAATGAGACAAGCAGGGCAAAACTATGTGTGCTCAAAATTAATCAATTAATATTTTCGTCAA